GTCCTTCTGCTACCTTAATACTAAACCTATAAATATAGGCTCATAGATCTATTTCCCCATCCTCATATACAAATATATTTGCATGCGTACATGTCTTTATCTAGACCTCTATAAATGCCCTTTATCTCCCAGCTCTTTCCTATATTTCCCTTGACTACTTTCCTCCTGTCCCACTATCATGCTCAGTCCCCACCAGCTTTTAAAAAAAAAGGTGGGGAGGGGGGCACATCATTTTTACACCTTTTGTTTCAACTGTTGTTTTTGGTTTGGTGAGGAGAACATCTAAACATGAAGGGGAAAAAGGATCCTCAGAACTGCTGTGTCGATTTTTATTTCTAGGTTTAAGTGATAGACTGAAGATCAAAGGCTTCTAAAGTTAAAACAGTGCTTTTCTCTCGAGCGCCTCTGGGGTTTCTGCAGCGCTGCGGCTCATTGGTCAGAGACCATCAGGCCGGACCTAGTCCTCACGTCGCCAGCATCACCTGGAAGTCTCTCTAGTTAAATACCAGACAAAACATTCTCCAGCCGGTCTTGAGAACCGCGACACCATTTGCTTGGGGGAGGGGCCGTTGGGGCTGTATTTTTAACAAACTGTAGTTGATCGCCGTGGGTGGGAGCCATCTCTTCTGTTCCCTGCCCCTCGGTGCCTAACCAATGCCCAGTGTCCGTTCTGGGGCTGAGCTGCTACGTCCCATCTGTGGGGCTATGGGGATGGGCGGGTGTCATGGGTCTGCCACAGCAAGGTGGCAGGGGAAGTCTGACGTGAATGACCGTGTTTCCCAGAGTGAGTTTGCTGCGCGCCTGAGTAAGCTGGAGATGGAGCGTCAGAGCCTGGCCGAAGCCGTCACTCTGGCAGAACGGAAGTACACGGACGAGAAGAAGAGGGTCGAGGAGCTCCAGCAGCACGTGAAGACTCACAAGACCAGCCTGGAGGCCTCCAAGCAGGAACTGGCTGACTACAAGCAGAAGGCGGCGCGGATCCTCCAGGTGAGTGGGCAGGTCATCTCGGCAGGTTGGCTGTGCTGTGCTGGCTCATTGAGATGCCAGGCCGGCGCTGGGGGTGGTAGGTTTGTGCTCGGCTGGGCTGGCTTGTTTCCAGTACAGAGGACAGCATGTCTGTGTTCCGCTCACTGTTGGGGTTTTGAATGTATTCCGCCACACCGTAGTCCAGGCCCCAGCCTGTTGTCACCATCACAGTGACAGTAGTCCCACGTGCTGCCACACTGTCCTGGTGGCCATCCTGGCTGCTCTTCATGAACCTGCATCTGGTTGGGGCCTCACCTTGCCCAGCTTTGTGCCCCTCGGGCAGATTTGTGGTGACTTTTAAATGACTGTAGTCAGAACTTTTCTGTCCTTTGCCCCTAGCAGAGGGACTGCGGGTTGGTTTGTTCCCTAGGACAGTTGTTCGGCCTGAGTGTTCGTCTGGTCTCTTCCTCCTCCGGGAATTCATGCTCCCTCCTCCCTCTCCTGGCTGTCCTCCCCGTCAGCGTGACCAGAGAGCACGTGGTACCTAGGTCTCAGACGGCACCACCCACCCGACTGCCCTCGGGTCAGTTCTGACCACAGGGCTCGGTAGAACTGCCCCTGTGAGTTCCTGACACGGTAACTCTTTTTTAAGCAGTTTCTTTTTTAATCGTTTTATTAGGGGCTCATACAACTCGTATCACAATCCACACATACATCGTGTAAAGCACATCTATACATTCGTTGCCCTCATCATTCTCAAAACATCTGCTCTCCACCCAAGCCCCTGGCATCAGCTCATTTTTCCCCCTCCCTCCCCACTCCCCCACCTTTTTAAAAACAGTTTTATTGGCATATAATTCACATCATACAATTAATAGTTCAGTCACGTCAAAGAGAGTTATGTAATCAGCACCACAATCAATTTAGAACATTTTGTTCATTCTTGTACTCGTCATTAGTAGGTCCCCATTTCCCATCAATGCCCCCCCCCCCCATACACCCAAGCAACCGCTCACCTAGTCACTGTCTTTCTGGATTTTATATACAGAAAGACATTAAAACAACCAAGTAAAACCGTTTAAAACCTCAATCAAAAAGAAAGCAGAAAATATTAAGAAGGGGAAGAAGTTTTAAATGGATCAAAAGAGATCAAATGGTAAGGTGTTGTGTTTTAACTTGACTGCATCTGCAGTCATCACTTCCAATGCACCCTGTATGAGAGACTGCAAAGCCTCATTTTACCCCGAGGGTTGGCCGAGGGTTTTGAACTGCTTACGTTCCAGTAAACAAGCATCTAAAAATAGCAGCCCCACTAGTTGAACCATCGCTCTGCCCCTGCCCTGGCTTTCAGGAAAATCAGATTTGCCGGAATTGCAGCAGGAGAGGCTGAGAGTGTCCAGGGAAGCCAGGCAAGGGAGCAT